TTTTGTCAAAAAATTTCTCTTAAGAAAAATAAATTTTGGCATTTAAATGACCTGTAAGGAGTTGATATGCCGCTAAACAAGCAAACAAACAAACAAACAAAAAAAGAAACATTTTTGTACGTAAAATATAATACTTGAAATCTTGAACGTAAGAAGAGTGGCCAGTGACCCACCGTTAGTCATGAACTGATATCATGGACTTAATTTTTTAAACTGAAATCCCGCCAAAATTCATTTAACAAGAGGAAGATTTTGTGAACTTTAGAAGCGTGGAGAAAGAAAAGAGAAAATGTCTGTTTTATAAGTGGACACTTAACAGTGGATGACTGTAGAAGAGTGACACTTCAAAACTGGAAGAGAAGTTGGTGGCTGTGAAGATTTCTGTCAAGAAACGCAAGATTAGACACTGAAAAGAAACAACAGAACACTTTATGTCCAAGTGGTGGTAGATTCATTGCTTATCTAATAAAGATGTTGATTTTAAACTTGTTAATTTCAGACCAAAGATTCTTAGTAAAGGCTTGCATCAACTGTTTATTAGCTATGGCATAAATATTAAAATGTTAAACATCAATGTATCAGATATCGACCCTTGGGGGGTCGACAGGACTATACAAGTGGCAGATAAATGTTTGAAACTCAACAAGTGGGTGAAGAGAGTATTGATCAATCGCAGTGACTGATGACTAAAAATCACCAGGTTCCAACTAAATGCAGTGTCAAAAGTATTTGTACCTTTGATACTGCTCAAATAAACACAACCTTCTCAGCACGGATATCTACTAATTCATGGAAAAAAGTTTTACTTAATTATAATGTCTATATTGTTACCTATATTGTTTATTAAGTTATTATTATTATTATTATTATTATTATTATTATTATTATTCGCACAAACAGGCCTAGTGGAGGAAGAGAAATAGAAACTGAAAAAGGAATAATATTATAATATTATTCATTTTTGTACATGGTTGAGAATTGATAAGGGATTAAAGTCTCCATGAAGGTGTTTGATGGTCTAAACGTTTGGAGGCCCTTTCTAAACATGTTTATTCATAAACATGTGCTTACCATGTGCATGCATGGGGGATTAGTCTAGTTTAGCTTTCTTTAGCAAGAAACTCATCCTATCCATAAAATTCTTCTAGTAGTCATAAAAGGTAGCTTTTGAAATATAAAAACGAATTAATTTTAAGATAGCTGTTTATTTAATTTGAAGATTAACATGATTTATTAAAGGAAAAGGTCAAAACATCCGTTCACTTTAATATATATATAGTAACAAATATCTAATCCCCTACATAGAAGTGAATATTGGGCAATTTTCTCTCAGATGAAGATTGATTTGCGTTTTTTTTACGGATTATCAGCCCTTAATGGGTTATTTAAAGCCGAAACATATTTTAGATTATAAGAATAATTCTTTTTTTGCGAGTTAATATTGCATTAACAATTTTTGAGGAAGATAATAATTTTTCCAGATACAAGTCCTACTATTTTCCATCATGGATGGAGGAGCTGGATTCATACCTTTCCCATGGGTATTTGTGCATGAATGAAACGAATCCGATTGTAATTCGAACTCAGATTTCTAATTCCGAGCCGTTATCCATTACACCACCTGCACATCCTCCCACACAGACTTAATGCGACAACAGTGTAGTTCTACCAACGAAGGTTAAAAATATCATATGAACAATAAGGAAGGTCTTAAGGAACACAGGAACAACAAAGAAAGTTATATACTTACAATCAGAAAGAGAAAGCTGAAATTTCTGGTACACATAATATGATGTCCTAGAGAATTTAACACTCAGACGTACTAGAGGCAAAGATAAGTAAGGAGAAACAGTGAGTAATCTATATTTCTAATTAGATTTTAAAATATTACATTTAAACGCTGTATTAAACAAATAATTTTCCCATCACCTTAATATGGCCTCCCTGTGCCTTTTCTATAAATATTTTCATTGTAATTGTTATGATGAGCTTTCATCTTGTCTGAGTAAACTTTATGAATTTAAACGCAGTACTATATTGGCGGCAAGATGTCAGCATTTTACAGTTGAAATGGATAGATGTAACCGTAAGTTCTATGCTAACAGTTTCTTCTCTCGTACTTTCCACTTGTGGAACTCTCTTCCGGGTTCTTGTTTTCCAGTCAACTTTGATCTTCAAAAATTTAAATGCAATGCCAATCGTTGTCTTTTGTCTTCTTAATTCCTGTTCTTTCATTGTTCTTTCCCCCTTAATAATATTTTCTTATCCTTATATTCTCCCACACTCAGGAACCCCTTGCATCTTAGTGGCTTTAATGCCTTGCTTGGGGTGAAATCGTCAACAATATACAATACAAAATCAATAAAACCATTGATTCCATTGCTTAATAGATATTTGTGTTATTCTTTTGGTGAAAAGTTAATTCTTAATGGATGTGATTTATTTGCCAACCTCTCGAAGGATTTTGTTTATTGTTGCATAATAAAAACAAAATGTCTTGTTGTATTGACACTTTTACTGTCAGTGCTGACGTGTGTAGGCAAAAATAGAATAAGAAAGATTCCTCAAATGTTAAATAGCATCACTAGAAACCAGATATTCGTGACAACAAAGGACGATGAAAACAAAGCGCGAATTTCAAAGTGAACGACGTTATGTAATTAACGCTATTTCAGGTTTAACAAGTAAAGCTGTAACTTGGCGTTGAAGGTGCGTCTTAAAAACCGACCACATAGATTTATTAATATAAAACTTACAAATAAATAAAGTATATTCCAAAAACAAGGTTGATCTTGGGTGCTTTTAACAGCTTTCATTTTAATCAAATGAATACGCCATAAAAATTGAAACGTTCTAATAAAAAGTGTACTAACTTTTTTTTAAAACAAACACAGAACTTTATATTGTCATTATCGATTGTTAATATTTGATCCCCATTTTTTAGTTTATGATTAAAGAAACGTTAAAAGGATTAGCGTAAAGCTGTCATATTTCTTGTGATAATTATATATGGAAACATTTCCCGCCAATGCGTATTTTGTTTAATAGTTTGTACTTAAAGTTTCTCGTGCACTTTTCTTACTTGTAAATGTTTGTACTTAAGACATTTAAAGTGCGATCTGTGGAAACCGTTGCGATTCCAAGTGAATAAGAAACCAAATCCTCACATGAAAATAGAACGAGAAATGGATAAATGAACCTCGTGTTTTAATGGTCATTATTAATAAACATTTTTTTAAATTAAGGCCGTCCGCACTTGAAAGATTGAATGTAACATAATCTTTTTGCTCCCCTTCTCCCTATTTGGCTATGCGTTGGACTAAGCTAAGCTCTTGCAAATATTTAAAGCTATTAAATCTTTCCTGTTTGGAGTGTAGCTTTATAGCGAGGTCACTTTGTGATAATCGGCGAAGACAACCTTTTTACCTCTTAAGGAATTTGAACCTAACATTATTTCATCTCGAAAGTGTCAAATATATACATAAACAACTTTGAAGGCATGCCACTTTGTAGGAAAACAAACAGCTGCAGTTGGAAGCTAAAAAAACACTGTACGTTTCACTCACATATATTTAATAATTGGCTTAATCTTCGTGACATATGGCACTTTATTAATTTGTCCTTAAGAGGAACCCCGGGTTTATGAAAGACTCGGTGCAAGTAATGATCTCTTCTTTTTTTTTTTTTTTTTTTTGCTTTATGAATGACAGATAACTATTGAGTAGAAACCTTTCTATTGTGATAGCACAGTGACGAAGAAATTGATGTACTGGCATTAGAACAGCGTTAAGCTTCGCACAGAAAGAATATTGTGTGAGTGTGTTGTTTAATTACTAGGAGAAAAGGAACAGACTTATTCCGTCAGCATTTATTAATATAAAAGAGTGGTTCATTAAATCTACAGCCTGACATAGCTGAATTGTGATCTAAAATGTTCACTGTATAATGTTTGATATTTGTGATCTATTGAAAAAAGCGCGAGGTCAAGTGTATTGAAAAAGAAAGAAATTATGCTTAAAATGTTTTTGCATGAAATAAATGTTATTTCATCATTAGGCCAAGGACTTAATGATATACTTACATGATTAAAAGTGTTACTCGTGTACATGATAACAACAAATTTTTAATCCGATTATAAGGACAAGGTATGTTTTCTGTTTGAATTTCATTCTTACTAATGTCTTCATCTTTTTTGTTATCACAACGTTTCGGCTGTTGTGTCACTCCGGTCTTCTTCAGGACAGGTTAACCTTCAGGGAATTTTGGACTGAACTCTTTAATCTACGAGTGAAGATTGTTCTCCTTTCGCTGTCCATATCTTGGGATGTCTCGTCTTGCTCTCTCTTTAACATTGTTCAGTTATTTCTAGTCCGTTTCATCTAATTCTGTTCTGTTTCTACGCGGGAATTGAACTTACAATTACTATGCTACGAAATTCACGAAGCAACTCTTTAATTCATTAGAATCCTGACCCTAAACCTTCGTCAATTTCATCGCACTAAAAAGGACAAGATGAAATATTCCTAGATACGGACTGTGCACAGCGGAACGAGAACAATCTAGCACAGTATTTTAAATAAAGATTTTACTTCAAAATTCCTTAAATGTTATCCGGATCGACAGATACCTGAAGAAGACCGGAGAGCACAATAGCCGAAATTTTGAGTTAACAAAAAAGATGAAGACATTAGTTTCGAATGTAAATTTTGTAAATCATAACAGATGTCATCAATATGTAAAATAACAAATAAATGCATTGCTTTCAAGTTTCAATTTTATATTTTAACAATAAATTTTATACTTAACAAGATCACAAATTAAATTTCATGGTGTTGGGGAAACTGCATCAATATTAATGACTCGAATCAACTGTTGGTTTCTTCAAGGATTTAACAAATCTGACTTGGATTACGACGAGAGAATTCAATTCTTTAAAGCTTTCTTTGAAAGTAGATACCGGTTTAATTTGAAAATAGAATGTTTCTACGAAAACTTTCGATGACGGTCAAATCAGGGTGAAACACCAGTTCTTGTTTGATCACTAAAGTTAAGCAATGTGGAGCTCGATCAGTACTTAGATGAGGGACAGCTTAGGAACACCGTGTACTGTAAGCGAGAACCGCGTACAAAACAGTTTAGGTTTGGGGCTAGAAATTTCATTGCTGAAAACATAATTGTTATGGAAACCATAGCATTGCGCTGAATGTTGTGAGTTTTGGTTCGATACTGCTCAATGGAGTCTACAGGACTAAAGGAAGGAAGAGATGAAAACTTTCAGAAATCAAAATAAACCTCTACTAATGTAGGTCTTAAGTAAAAGCAAGTGGGTTTAAAACGAGGAATACATTCATATACAGAATAGATAATAATTCACATCAGCAGAAAATTAAATGAAGATTTTCTAAAGAAAAAAAATCAAACAATTATTATTATTATTGTTGTTATTATTATTATTATTATTATTGTATTATTAAAAGTAGAAGCAGTAGTAATAATAATAATAATAATGATAATAATAATAGAAGAAGAAAACATATTATCATTATAACACTTCATAAGAACAGAAATACATGATCATAGCGTTTGATGAAAAACGTTTTACCGAAAGAATTTGATAAACTCTTGTAATATAAGGATCTGGAAACAGAGATTCCAAAATGCGACATTTAGGCAACCATTATTCCGATGGCTATAACAACGCATGGAATGATTAAGAAGAAAACTAATATAAGAAAGAACATCCGAACGAATCAATTCTTGTTTTTATAGAAAATATTGTGTTAATGATTACGATTCAAGTACATAGAAAAAAAAACGCTTTCAATATGCTCAATAACTTCGTAAGAAAACATACTTTATTATTTGTTATGTCTTGACAAATGTTTATATAAAGAAAATGTTTGAATTCTTTGCTAATAAGATGCAATTGTAGCATTTGTTTAAATGACAAAAGCAAAATAAACATCAAAAATGAGTCGCGCATAAGATCCGAATAGATTGAATTTAAAAGTACGACAAGATAGTAAAAGAGTTTTGTGGATTTAAAGAAAAAAAAGCAAGTTAATATTTTTCATCAACAACAATAATAAAAAACTGTTTTCCAAAGAATATATACCAAAAATATCTGTCTATTGTGTCAACTGGAAAAAAATTCAGATTGGGAGTATCTTGCAGTATTTGCTGAGAGATGATAAAATTGAAATCTAATTATTCCTGTTAATTGACGCAAAAACAATGTAGCGTGTGACGATAAAAAAAGAAGAAAGCATCTTGAATTTCTGTTTTATTCACCAAAATGCTTTATTTGTAGAAATTATGGAAAATTACAACTGTTTAAGAAAAGCAACAAAATGCCAAAATACAGAAAACAGATGCTGTTTTCATTGTTTTTTTATTTTTATTTAACAAGAACAATATTATTTTATCCTCATTAGCAATGAGTCATTTAATTTTTTTGCAAACTTTAATCTCCCACGTGTTTTGTCAGTTTCGACCTGAGTAGAAAAACAAAATGCACGCTGAATGTAAAAAGAAAAGAAAAGAAAAAGGGAAAGAAAAGAAAAGAATAGAATTGTGCTTCCTTGTTTCAATTAACCTGGAAATGTCTATAGGATTACAGAACTTTATGCTGTACTAGTTTGTCGTTTTAAGCAAGTTGGATTTCTAGGTTAATTTTATTGGATAAATATGTTACATTAGTATTCACTGATATCTAAGGAAGATAAAACAAGCTAAATTATTACTGACAAATATATATGAAGATTCGAGTGCGTTACATTCACTTACGTGCAAATGGCCTGGGAAAGGCTCTTCTCTCCCTTGCTGTGTGTACGTAGCAGGACAGTCTGGGTTCTATAACCTTGGGTTAAAGGAGAAGGACAACTCTGAATTCAAAACCTCCAACTATGGGTTAAATAGCCTCACCTACCCTTAATTGGTCAAGTGTGATGAGTACGGCGAAGACCTGGTCAATCAGGGAGTTGTCCCTCCAAGAAGTGAGAAAGCCTTGAATCTGGATTTTGATCTAAAACAGATTTCCCTTAACACTGGAGTGAATACATTATCACAAACGGTTAACAGAGATTTTATGCATTATTATTAATTTTTTTTATTAGCATTTCATTTGTTTAGGTTATAGCTCACAGATCTACGATCTACGATCGTTGAGTAATCAGCGCGAACCGAAAATAAAGAATAAACTTGCTTGGAAATTTGAACTTGCATTATTTCTGATTTGCGTTACTTACTAGCAATTGTAGAATGACGACCTGGTGGTTGGTTTAAAAAACAGTAGAAATAAGAATAGTAAATCTTTCATGCACCGACTTCTTGCAGGCCGTGTCTAATCATTGCTCTCTACAAATTCCTATCATTTGAAGCTCGAAGCAACATTTGTGTTCTTGCTGTTCATCCTACTCTCTGTCCTGCGATCCATTTACATAAGAGTGTTAGGTAGATTACTCGATATTTCCCATTGTTCCTCTTGCCTTCAATATACCCAATGGGTTTCAAATTCTCCAAGCCCTAGTTCCTCATCAGGTATCACAGAAATTTCAATTGTTTCTTTCTAATGTTAGTGTAAGCGATCTTTTTGTTTCTATTTTCCTTAAAATTTACTTTTTGCTCACGTTTTGATTATATTATTCTCTACATCCTCCTGTAGAATCAAATCTCTGTTGCCTCAAGTCCATCTTTGATGAAATTGGCTCGCATTCACTGCCATGCAGGAGAATTGATATTACATAGCAGTTCGGCACACTTTTCTTTGTTTCTTGTCGCTTAATAGGTTACTTAGCTTTTAGAAGGCCTCTTTCGAGATTTCAATGAGCCTTTGGATTTTTGTATCATATTTACCATCGTCTGTTATAACACTTAGTTGATGTTTAAGTTTTCGTACTTGATTATGATGTTTCCAGTTTGTACATCACAGCTTGGCCTGTCCATTTTACTGTCTTCTTACAATTAAAGACCTTTATCCTTGCTTTCGTTTAATAACTTGTATAGACGTTACTGTAATTCCTCCCACCTTTCGTTGTTGCCTTCAACATTGTATCATCTGTGCATCTTACATAGCTGAAAAACGAAATACTCTTAAAAAAGGTTTCACCTATTTCGAATATGACGGCATCTAATACTATCAGTTTGTTCCTCACAGTGCGTTCTATGATTGTAACCTTTCTTCGCGTTCTACCTTCACCGCAGTTTATGAACAAGGCCCCACCACTCCCGAATGTCTCATGACATATATTCATTTGTGCATATTCGTGTATTATAGATGCACCAGGAGATCAACACGCTTGAATGTAATGATTAAAGGCGTCAAAGGTATATGTCCATGAAATGAATCATCATACGCAAGATTTGTGACCGAACCATTACTTAAGCAGTTCAGTGATTTTCAAACTAAACAGTTTTGTCATGATGCGAACCCAACAATAAATAACACATGTAAGTGGCAAATATCTTTATTCAAATGATTTGAAGACTTGCAGGTGAAAACGAACAGTTATATATATGTTTATATATATATATATATATATATATATATATATATATATATATATATAATAATGTTTTAAATATATATATATATATATATATATATATATATATATATATATATATATATATATATATATATATATAAATATGTTTGCAATCAACACCATCACTTGACAAGACACAAGTAGTGTTGAAACAAAATGGCGATTTTTGTAGTGATGTTATAGCATGCTTATGTTATAATTTTTAAATAAATATTATTCGCTTTACTTTGTATTGAGCACTTTATTTAAAAAACAAAAAAAAACAGTGTTTTTGGTTATTGGAATTTTATTACATTTATACCAACCCTGAATTCTTATATATATATATATATATATATATATATATTCGAGACTATTTTGTATTTATTATTCCATTGGCATATAGCCATAAGTAATTTTCTTGCATAAAATGTCGGGCTTCATTAACTCGCAACCGAAAAATTAATATATGTCTTGAATAAAGCAATAAAGTTATCTCTTGTATAACAATTAAGTACTTGGATTTGTTGGCAAGGCATAATGTGACTGTGTATGCAAGCTTTTTGTGGTATGTACAGGTAGTGTAACGGTTAACAACTTAGAAAGTGAAAACGGTGACTCGCGTTTGAATTTCGGCTGAAAGAAAGCACTGAATTCACAACCAGGCTAAAACGGGATTGGCTACGTCAGTCTGTCTTGCTGTAGGCATATCACTATTATGGCTCCTATTAGATGCATCCCAAGACCTAAAGTATGGGGCATTCAGTGAGGATCGAACTCACTACTCAGTCGTAAGTTATCTAGCGAAACACGCTTGCAAACCGAAGTGCTCTGGTGATTTTCTAAGCATAGCTTAGATGTGACAAAAGGCCTAAAGTATAGGACACTCTGTTAGGATCGAACCCACTACTCAGTCGTAAGTGATCTCTCTCTCTCTCTATCTATCTATGTGTGTGTATATATATATATATATATATATATATATATATATATATATATATATATATATATATATATATATATATATATATATATATATATATATATATATATATATATATATATATATATATATAAAAAGAAAGAACAGTAAGATATAAAATCCGGTGTTCTTATAGATATTTTTATTTTTACAAAATAGTGCTCAGTGTAAATTTACAGAGCATTAATATTATAAATTAATTGATTTAAAATATGTTTTTTTTTTACACAGTTCCAACTATGTTTCAAAAATAGAAGCTAAAACCCTGAATTTAATTTTTGCAATTAAATTAAAAGCATTAGTTCCATTTCATCTTCAAGCGAATTTTGGAGTAACTTTAAAAATTACCGGGTTTAAAAAGACAGCTAAAATCACGTTTCCATGGTTACAGAATATTCTACTTAAATTGAACAAGGGATGTCTAGATTTTCCTTATGTCAGTATCATTGTATCAGTTATTAGCTACAATTTGGTAAGGGGTAGGGATGTATTTTACAATGAAACCTGTATATATATATATATATATATATATATATATATATATATATATATATACTCGTTGAAGACTGTTTTGCATTTATTATTCCATTGGCATATAGCCATAAG